GTGGAATTAACCAGGCACAGACGCGTGTAGGTTACAGGAGTTTGTTTACTTACGTCGCCTAGATAGTGATGGACGACGCAGGTGAGCCTTCGTTCCGTTACAGCTTTAGTTACAGAGTCAAATATGCGCATATAACTTCGGTTACAGAGTCGAGGACACGCACGCAGTTCAGTTACGGCGAGATAATGACGGACGTGGCGCCGAAAAGGGACGGTCGCGCTTGCAAGACTTTTTACGTCAATATTTTACGCTGACGGGGCGATTGATTAGGAATTGATCAGTTTCCCAATTTTCTGGTGACAAGCACAGGTGTTTCCTGTGAAATCCCCAGAGCTCTCCGCCTTGGGCGGAAACCGTTAAACTATTTATAGGCAGAGGTGTTTTACAGGAATATCCAATGGTGAACCGTTATATGGAATCTTTAATTTTTGGCAGGTGGCATCTCTTTGTCTCCTCAAGTTACAAGGTAGTGGGTTAGGTTTTCCTACCTGTTACGTGTGTGCTACGTGTGAGGAGCTTACGTTTATCTTTGACCAATTATATATAGTTTCCCCCAGCATTTTATTTCAGCTGACCAATTATCTGTAGTACACCACCAGCGTTTTGTTTCAAGGAATTTCTTGGCAGGGAAGTCTTTTAACCCTTAATAGTCAAATGAAGATGATTTGAATGTTATCTCTTGCTCAGTGGCATGGGCACAAGTTAATTGGGTTGTGACAGCTGGTTGGACCTTTTTATCGTGTGGTAGCTACTTGGCACATGTAGCTGGTCTTAGAGTATTTGAACTATTAACCAGTTACTTGTACAATACCCGAAATGTGCAGAGAGGACCGAGATGCTGGAATTGGACATCCTCTTCAGCACACTTGGTCATCTCTGTTTGCTAACGTTTTACTCTTGTGATGTATGCAATTCTTCAGTTGTCACTCTGTCTAAAACTTTTGCAGCTTCTAAAGCTATAACATGTGTCTTATAAAATAGGACAAAAGCTTTTCCTAGGAGCTTCTCCACCAAACTGGCCCAACCAGTGAGTGCTTTTCTGTAAGAGTTGGTCTCTTCATGGTGAAGGGCTTTCCTATCACCTAATGTATTGTTTCACCACAAGTAGATTTTCTCTTCTGACTTTAAAGACCATCTTCATCAAATGAAACTTCTTTAATGCTTGTAAAACATTTGTAGGTGTTTTAGCTAATGTTGCAAAGCATCTCTAGTGACACTTGTCAGACTGATTTTTGAAGACCATTGACCTTAATTGAATCGTTGTTCCTGTTGAAACTTCTAAATTGGAACAAGAGGGAATGCTTTGCTCTTACATTGCTGTTGAGACTCTTTA